GCTACGGGGGGGCGGGTGGGGTTGAGCCAGGAGCGAGTTACGCTGTGCTCCGTAACCGCGGCGTCCAGTCTGTCTAGAAAAAAAAACCGCTTGTCCTTTCGCGTTGCTTCTCTTAGCTGGTGCACTGTCCACATGCTGCATAATTACAGATCATCGTGTAAATAACGCAGGTCAGTGAGATCACTGCAGTGTAGCAAAGTTTGCTGCACTGTGTTTTGTGTTCGCTGATACGCAAAAATTACATAACGTTAGAAATGCATGAAATGTGCATTTGTTGGAGGCGATGCCATGCTAATAGCTTTTCTTAAAAATAGTCTCAGATTATTTGGAAACCGTGCATGGAATAACGTGCTTCACCAGCATACTGATTCTGAAAATCAGAACTGACATAGTATTTATTGTTCATGCAATAAGCATGCATTCAGGCTGGAACCTATGTGCTCTTATGCTTGCTTACACAGAGAGAGAGAGAGAGGCATTCCAACAAATGTCACCTTTAAGTTACTAAGAACAAAACTCTTGTTTAGTTCTAGATGGAGTAAAACTAATATTAACGTACCAAAAGCCAGATATGCTTCTCAGAGATGGTGCAACTCATACGTAGACAAATGAGAGAACTGCAAACTACTTGCATGAGGTAACTCCACCGTTAGTGCGCATGCAGTACTAAGCACAGAGTCACTACTGGAAAGGGCAAGAGTCTATTCTAGAAATGCAGACATCATAGTATTCAGATAATCATCATGGAGAATTCACGTCATAAGTTAGTGTATATTCACAGTTACTAGCTAGACAACAGAACAGATTATATACATGGCTTTTTTCTGTAGTGAGTTTTAGCAGGACATTGCAGGAGAAATAGCATGGCGGATCACTGCAGATGAGCTCCATACTGGTTTTATGCCCATATTGCACATCAGCTAAATGTCAGTGGAGGCCCTAAATGCCAGTGAACAAAACCCTATCAGATAAAGTCATGTTTTTAATTAGCAGAAATAAGAGGAGCTACGTACTGTCTGAGAGATAAAACCATTTTATTTGTTAGCTCTATTAGAGTAACACAAACAAGGTAAGTCACTTTACTTTTCTCTCCCCTATATGACTGCCTTACTGGTCTTTCTCACTGCACTGCTTATTGTCCAAAGATCACAAATGTATCTGATACATTTGTCTACCTTAGCATTAAGTGACAGTGTAGTTATGTCTTGAAATAGGTATTTGTTCCATTCAGAATCTAATGTTTGAATGACTATATAATCTGGAAAGACACAGCTACAGAAACCTCCAGAGCACCAGCTGACATTTAAAAGTGATTGAGTTGTACTTTCCCACTTTTTCCCTTGCTTATTTTGCATCCATAAAGAACAGGGTTTTAATTTGTGGAGACTTCAAGTAAGAGGAATTTATTTGTAGAGTAGTATGAGGTGTACGATAATGCATAGTATTATCTTAAATGCCTTAAACAATTCCTTAATATAGAGATGTAGTAAATAAGTACACATTTGAAACTGTATTTACTTGTTTCTTTTTATTGCTTTTTGACTAGAAACATGAAGTGAATGATACACTAATATTAAACTTAACATTAGTTAAGGCTCAGTACTTCCATGACAGTAAAAACAATCAAGCCCAATCCCAAAACAATCAAGGAAGATCCCAATCCTTATCTCACAATCAGCAGAACAATAGATAACAATTTGGTATAACGGTGAAAGATAAAATCATTTGACATGTTAAGTGGTTTGTCTGATTAGAATGAAAAATTTTGCGGTTTGCTCAGAAAACTAAAATAAGGCACAAAACAATAGGTCCACTTACCATGCTATAATAGCATCTTCATAACGTGGACAGATTTGAACTATGCTTGCAGCGTGGAAAAACGCAGTTCTTATATACCTGTAGCCACACATGTCTATACACCAGATTTTGCTTGGAGAGCAGCAAAAAAGCAAAATTCCTAAGTACATCTAATAATCTAAGACAACATTTTCAAACATGACTGTCTGGAGTCCACCACTAAAATAAAACTAACCTTACTTTCAGTACTGCGACTTGTTATGTAGGAGAATGTTACAGTTAGAAATGTTAATCTCATTTAAATGTGAACATTCTGGTCTCTGCCTTCAAGTTTGTGTAGCTTTTAAATATACGCTTCTTAGTGACCACTGTTGTTTTACGAAAAAGATTGGCTTTTAATCCTGAATGCATTACCAACAACAGTATAGCAGTAGACTGAAGCCGATACAGAACCCAGAATAATTTGTGACAGGACATGACTAATTAGTACAAATAATATATTGATCCGTCTGGCTAACCTAGATGATGCTGAATTTGGTCCTGTTTTCCGTTTTAGTAGTATAGAAATAAATGCCACACTTTGAGTTGCTAAGTACAATTCTTTAAATGCCCAACAAACAAAACCAGAAAGTGAAATAAGCAATTCTCTTAATTTCATAAATAAGCCATAAAGACAAAGAAAGAAAAGTACTTTTATGTTCCTTTACAGGAACAAAATTATCTGTAGGTACCAATTTTGATCACAAACATGGCTCCTATAAAATGTTTCTAGATAAAAAGCATACAGGAGCCAGTCCTTGTCAGTACCAGGTGACAGTCTGGCAACTAAATTTTCTGACTGTTGCTGTTTCTGACCCAAGAAAGTCAAGTACAATATTGTTCTAGGAAACCTAAGTTATTCAAGTGCAATGCACTTCACAGTGCACAGTTTTCTGAAAAACATTTCTGGTTTTTGGGGTTACTGCAAAAAAAACAAACCGAAATAAATAACTTCTTCAATGTTAAAAGGCCTTTTGCTTTTGAAAGTTCTTAGGTACCATGTTAATTAAAATCCATCTCAGATTCACTGAAACTGTGGCCATAACACCTGTTAGGGAGCAATAAGAACTAAAGAACACTTACTCATTTATCTATGGTTGATACTTAAGACCATGAACAAAAAAAATCTAATACAGTTTCTTCAATAGCTACAGCTACTAAAAATGCAGTTAAGAGTAACTATGTCTTAGTGACACTAGACTTTTTGTCCATTTCAGTGGAATCTGGACCAATAAAACTGACACCAGTTCCAAGGCCTGAGCGTTTCAAAGATAATTCAGAGGGAGGAATATGACGTAGTTCTCGACGAGATAGTTTCACTGGAGTTACTCCTTGAAACTGTGTTACAGTCTCCCTTCTCTGAATGATGGAAGGTAGCTGAGGATGAGATTTTGAAGGCTGAGCTTCATCTGTTCCTGTTTTGTCATCACTAATGCTCAGTAAACATTCTTTGTTGCACCCAAATTCTGAAACATCTCCAAGCTTGTATGAACTCTGCTGTGCTCTTAAGATACTTGTTCTGTCTGTTTCTTTTATTTTCTCTGGTCGGCTATTGGTTTCAGGCTTAAGTGTCAACTTCAGTTCTTCAGAAGCAACTTCTGCTTCGTCTTGACAAGATGCCTTGTCACCAGCACTGTTATCTAAAGTGATATTTATCAGGAGATAAATAGCTAAAAGTTACAACTTTTCTGAGTGCCTGTCATCAAGAACTATTGATAACACAGTTTTACAACATCAGCAACTTGTAGTGGTAAAAAATTAACAGTATCTCACATTTTGTCCTTTCTGTTAAAAAGTTTGTCACCTACAAAAACATCAGAGGTATTAGCGCTTACTTTCCTCTGACAACATCCTGGTAGTACAAGCCTTACCATTCTAACTAGTAGGCAGTCTTAAAACAACTGAACCATGATAGTCAAATATGAAATTATTCATATATTGAAAGTAGTCAACAATTACACTAGCACAACATATAAACCACATTCTGCACATTTGACTGGAATGTACACATAGGGATGTCCTGGTTTTGGCTGGGATAAAGTTAATTTTATTCCTAGTGGTGTTTTGGATTTAGTGCGAGAATAATGTAGACAACACACTGATGTTTCCGTTGTTGCCATGTAGTGCTTATCCTAAGGATTTTTCACTTTCCCATGCTCTGCCAGTGAGGAGGTGCACAAGAAGCTGGGAGGGAGCATGGCCAGGAGAGCTGGCCCGAACCAGCCAAAGCGATATTCTGTACCATAGGATGTCATGTTCTGTAGAGAAACTAGGGGGAGTTGGCTGGGGAGGGATCACTGCTCAGGCATCAGTCAGCTGGTGGTGAGCAGTTGCACTGCGCATCGCTTGTCTTTTCTTGGTGCTTATTTCTCTTATTATTATATTTTAGTTATTAAACCATTCATATTTCAACTCACGAGTTTTACTTTTTTCCCGTTTTCCTCCCCATCCCACTGGGAGGGTGGAGGAATGAGCAAGCAGCTGCATTGCACTTAGTTTAGCCACTCATGTAAGAGGAAAAAAACCCTCTTCTGCTTAAGATGGGGATAAATGCTGAAAGCCTCACGCCTGTGGAAAGCAGACACTGAAATGCCTAAGGGTGCTTTTGGGGTGTGCAGAACTTAAAAAACACTTAAGAAAATCAGCTACTCTACTCCTTGTCCTGGTTTCAGCTGGGATATAGAGTTAGTTTCCCTCCTCATAGCTGGTATAGTGCTGTGATTATAACGTTGATAACACGCTGATGTTTTAGTTGTTGCTAAGGAGCACTTCATCATAAATTAGAGAAATTTTTGTACTCTATGATCTGACAGTGAGAAGGTACACAAGAAGCTGGGAGAGAGCATGGCCAGGAGAGCTGGCCCGAACCAGCCAAAGGGGATATTCTATACCATAGGATGTCATGTTCTGCACAGAAACTGGGGGGAGTTGGCTGGGGAGGGATCACTGCTCAGGCATCAGTCAGCTGTGGTGAGCAGTTGCACTGCACATTGCTTGTCTTTACTTGGGGTTTATTTCTCACTCTCTTTTCATTATATTCCTTTTCATTCAATTATTATTATTGTTGTTATTGTCATTATTTTAGTTATTAAAATGTTCTTATCTCAATGCGTGAGTTTTACTACTTTTTTCCAATTCTACTTCCCATCCCACTGGGAACAGTGAGGAGTGAGCAAGCAGCTGTGTGGTGCTTAGCTGTTGGCTGGGGTTAAACCACAAGGGTGTTATTTTTAAAGTTCAGCAACAAATTAGGAAGTGTTTTTATGACACTGCATTGCAGCATGGCTCAAAATGTATTCAAAATAAAAATAACTAAATATAGAATATTTATTATAAAACTTACGAACATACGTATTTGAAAAAGTTGGATATTCACAAGGACCTTGTTCCCCCTCTCCTTGCTACAGTTTTGGGTAGGATGGGTGCACATGCATACATGTCCTGAAATACATGCTTCTTTGTATACTAGACAGAGAATAGTCTTTACCATGCTTATTTATAATCCAGCCTCTGGTATATTAATGTTCACAGTTTGACAGTGTGCTTCACAGTAATGAATGTGTTGGCTCATCATCCTGCCTAGAGGGCAAGGGCTGAGCCTTTAATTCACTCTGGGAGCATCAGGTATGGGATCAGCATCTACGTGTTAGGAAGGCATCGCACTGCCCAAGTGGAAAGAAACAGAAGCAACCATTAGGAGGAAGAACCAGCCATGCTGAGCCTTAAGAAGAAACACGGCCAAGAAGGCTCTGTTGCGCGTATGAAGTATTGGCGGTGGCATCAAGAGGTGCAAGACAACAAAAATAGTAACAGAAGTGGAATCATTTTTTCTGCTCCACCTTAACAGCTCCGTTGTACATTTGGATTCTAGCAAATAGGAGATGGAACAATTCAAAACTTACATGAGCAGTTGGTTTGCTTTTGGGTTTTGTTTTTGGGGGGTTTTTTGGTGTCAAAGCACAGAATCACTCTAGAAAGCGTTTTTTGGTTTTTGTTTTTTTTTTTCCTACAAGTGTATAAATCCTCTTTAGCCTTAGTAAGTAAGTAGCTAAAGTAAGTTAGTAACTGAAAGTATGAAATTCTTCACTGAGAATCTCCCAGTAAGTATTTTATATGATGAAATCAAGTGCTGAGAGCAGCCTGTCTAAAAGCATAGCATATGACAGAGCTGTTACTTACAACATCATTCAGACTCTTCCAGATAGTAAAATTCCTCAAACAAAAGTTTGACGTTGTAGATACTGAAATTATGTTAGAATTCAGAGAAAACAGAACAAGAATTTAAACCACTGGTATACCACTGTGACAGCTCAAACCAATGTTGTCCCTCCTTTGAAACTGGGGGAGAGGTGTAATACATTCCTGGGGAGCAGTTAGATCAGTAAAATTATGATTTTTATGTCTATCTGATCCACTTCTGTGTGTTCACCACCCTTCCAATGATTTATTGACAATTGCGTAAATATTTTAAGGGAATATACTTACATTTAGTGGATGCCCATAATTGATGGGATGACTCTCCCAAGAGGCCTTTCACTTTCTTCTTCAGCTCTCGGCTGGTTTTCTTATAGAAAAATAAGTCTTTTTCCAGTTGCTGGACTTTTACTTCATATCCTTTCAAGGTTTCTGCAATGCCTTCACTATCTTGTTCTAGGACAAGTAAAACTTGTTTAAGAACTAGTGTGAAAAATCAAGATGCCCAACTAGACAGAATATGCTTTGTATTTTGCTGATGCTTTGCCTGCAGTGTGTACATTTTATCTAGTATGACACACGATTGAAAAGGCTATGCCTGTCAGTTTTAATAGGAATATTCAGAAGATCAAGCTCAGTAGGACTGGTATCTTTCAACTTCCCAATATCAGCAATTTCAATACAAAAATACAATTCTGATACTGTTTAAACCATTCAGTTTTCCGTTCATACAGACACCAAGTGTCTGTTCCTCAGTGTCCTGCACAACATCAGAATTAGTGACAGCCAAAATATATCTCTGAACTTTTTTTTTTTCAGTCAGAATATAGTTATTTTTCAGTAGTGACTGAAGATACTACTTGCTGTACCATCCTCCCCAAGAAGCCAATACCTCTGAAATGATGCAGTATTAACTGTAGTTTTTTCTCATGTTCTTTGTGTTGTAGGGTCAGCTGCCTGTCACACTGCAACTTCATATGTTCAAGTGCAGATTCTAATTCACGTATCATGTTTTCCTGGTCTGTGACCTTCATTTCCTGTTCTTCAATCCGTAGTTGTAATTTACGTTCAGACTCACGTAGGCCAACAATCTAAGACAAAAATACACCTCTTTTGATTTATCAAGCCCTTTTAATAAAAGCTATTACCCTTCTGCTTAATAGGTGAAAGCATACAAAAGCAATGGTCTCTACAGGCCATAAGTTTGTATTGGAAACAGACTTGCCCACTGCTACAAGTTCACACTTCAGAAATGAGCTCTGTACATTTCAATCAAATGGATTAGTGGATTTTTTAAATACCCTGTACAGAATTTAAACTGAAACAACAGTGTTCTCCTGATTCTGGAAAACTTCCAACATGCATCACACAGACAACTTGTTCACAGAATCACCCAGGGTTCACCCAAGGTCACAAACACACACCATATCCTAATGCATTTCATTTTTATGTTTCCAGATGTCAGTATGATTCTTCAACATGTGGTTGTACACACTGCAGGCAGTGTCCAGATTTATAAAAAAAAATAGGAATACTAGCCTGAGCTTTATGAAGCCTGCAGTTGGGAAGAATTTCAGTATGACACCACTATTTAAATATGTTGCTACTCCAAAAGTTAGCACCATAGAGGTCTGGAAGGGAGCAAGGAAATTTCTAGATTTGCAGCATCTTTTAAGCTAATGACCTCAAACCAAGATACACAGAATTAAGACACAAATATCCTATTTAGCTTAATGTAAACATTAAAAAGATCTGAATTAATAGATCTATGTAACTAGAAGAGATTTTCACCAAAAGTTTGTTAAATTTATTTTTATTTCTTGACACCATTTCATTATTTAGAATAGTAACAGAAAATAGGGTAACATATTATTCACTAGCCAAAACAAACCTTGTTGAAATATTTGAAAAGGATAGCTCTGAGCTCAGCAGCAGACAGGGAAACTAGTTTTCCTATGACATTAGTCTCACTCTGTGAAAGAATCTGAGAAGATGACCTAAGCAAGTGCTGGCGATTCTGAATACTTTCATTCTTGTAATCAATAGCAGCCTCCAGGGCTTCAATTCCTTCTTCCAGCTGGAAAAGGACATGTTCTTCCTACAAAGAAACATGTAAGTAAGATCTAAAATAAGAGGTAGAGTACAAATCTAGAATACTTGTCTTGTTCTGCCATAGTACCCCTTCCATGATATAAAGGTCAATCAAATGGTTCATCACAAAAACTAAAGTAATGTTTCCCTTTTTATTCTTCCCCCATCCTCCCCACACTTAGACTTCTGCTATTTTTTTTTTTTTGGTTGTGCTAAGTTTTCTATTGGATTAATGAATAAATCAGGTCATTAAGGAGTCTGGTGATGATAACTTGTGTAGGGAAGTGGCAGAAATGCATGGCCTGAAGCACTGCCGAGTATTTTGAGTAGTGAGGCAAGTAGGATTGTTTCTGGCACATTATTACCTCAGCCACATACCCATACTGCTTCTCAAGACCTAAAAATAATCTGTACATTTTATATGAGTTTATTATGTCTTCAACTCAAGTGTGGACCATCCAGGTAATGACTTATTTTTGCTGTTAAAAATACGGAGGCCTTCAGGGGAAGTTTGCTTTTTCACAAAATCCTATAAAAAAAAATCAAGGGCCATCACTATGTGAGTACATTGTCTTGTTCTGTGTCCTGACATTAAAATATCTGCCTATGATAAACTGATGAACTTCTAGTTCCCTTATTTCTGTTTATATGATCCTTAGGCCAGTGGAGTTTGCCAAGGCACTAACTGAATTAAGTCCCTCTGAACATAAACTTTATTCACTGATACATAACTAGAGCTATTGTAGGAGTATTTTAACTTTGCTATTTACAAAAGTACCCAACCTCCATTCCTTGCTTTTAGCTTAACTAATATTTAGCTTATCTAACATTTCAGGTTGAAACACTTTATTATACAACACTACCTAAAACCTATATTTATCTCAAAGTTGCTTACTTACTTCAGTTGACAGCACTTTACCATCTTTCAGTTTCTCATCCACGCTTTTTCTTCTTCTGAGCAGCTGATCCCTTTCCATCTGGAGAGCCTGAATTTTTTCCAGAATGTCTGTCTTATCTTCACTGCTGCTGCCCTGAAGCTGCATACCTTTATCACACAGTTCCTGATCCAGCATACTTAAGCGAGTAGACAATTTCATACTATCTTTGTTTAAAGCCTAAAAAAACCACAGCAACCATAGATTAAAAACTGAGATACTCCTTCCAGTAAGAAAAATGTAGGTGAGACTCACATTCTGCAGTGAAAGACTTGACTGCTTCTTAACATAGGACCTCTATTTTGAATAGTCAGCTACCCTAAAATCTACTATTTGCTCAAAAGATGAAAGAAAACCAAATCAATGTGCAGTTTTCTACGTGATAAAAATTAAAGGGACTAGTCATTATAAATGACAATACTTAAATTTCTATTCACTTTTGCTACTGAAAAATAAATAATGCAAAATGTTTCCCTGTCATGTTCTCTAGTTTGCAAAAGGACCAAGTAATTTTTAAATGTCATATTTATTTAATGCTCTGCAGTAATAGAACTCCATAGTTCAGATTGTTTGGGGTTTTTTTTGAATTTTGGGAAGAAAAAATGAATAAAGATTATTATTCTGTGTTATTCACATTTTAAATGTTAATTTGCCCAAGCCACACAATAACTTCATAGCACTGGTAGAGATGCAGGTCACACGGCTTGAGCGTCTTCTGCTACCTATCTCTGCCCCCCACCCACTCCATGACCGTGCCATCTTTCAGACAGCACTCTAACTGTGGTGAGTTTTGTGGTTTTTCTTAAATCACCTGGCTAGATCTCAGTTTCTTGATTTCCAGGTGGCTCTTCTCTTGCAATAATGCTTCTTTTTTGGCTACAATATCTTCCCTTTTCTTTAAATCTTCTTCTAGTTCTGCTAACTGTTGGTGCTGTTGGAGAATTCTTTCCATTTCTTCATCCAGCCATTTCTTTTGCTCTTCTAATTTCTAAAGTTTAAATAGAGATCCAGAGAGCATTAACCAGGACTTTTTGGGTCAGCATTTTGTTACTATGTTTTTCCTTTTTTAGAATAACTGAAAAAATTGGAGAAAAAATTGATATTTCTAATGTTAATATATATTCTGCAACAAAATCTTGACTCAGAATAATACTGAAATTGGACTGACGTAAAAAGGGGCTCGGTAATGTTACATTGCTATATCTTGCATAAATGAATTTGTATCAGATGCCTCTAATGAAACGTATTCTTTTTTTAAGAACAGTTATATAAATAGATGTCTTCTATAGAATCATGGCAACTAGGTTTGAAAGGTATCACAAGAATCCAGCTAACCCATCCTCAATGCATTTTAGTTGCCCTAGACCAAATATTGGTGGAAAAACATTAACAAGAAATTATGATGTTGAAAGACAGTAAACAAGAGCTCTGATCCTGCCAGCATCCATTCCATTATAAATTTATTCTGAAGTCACAGTTTATCAGGGGATATATTCCAAGTAAGGCGAAAAAGTTGCCTTTATTTAACTTTTAAAATTTCTTTTCACCTTTAAAGACTTTGGCTAACTCATGAAACTCTCAAGTTCCAATGTCTACAACTAAAATAATGTACATGGCACTGCTGCATAGGATACCTACTTTTCTAACCCTGTTAGGAACAACCAAAACTGCAGGTCTCTGTCATTTATGTCAGAGGAAAAAACAAAAAAAACCAAACAAACCATAGAACATTTATAACAGAGCTCATCGGGATCACCCTCAAACCTACCAGACAACCAAACATACTGAATTCTCAGGTCTCTGTATCAGCATCTTTGACAAATCATAGAAAGAAAAGACATTAAAGCCTCTCCTTTCCTTAATTCAAAAACAGTACAAGAGCTGCTAGACTATACTCCCAATTCTTGCTACAGGAAAAAAGACAGAACTCTTCTTCCAAACACTTTACAAAGATGACTACGGATGAAGAAATTTTATTTTTTTTTTTTCAGGGCCCACACAGATTCATAATACATTAGCTACCTGTAGCTTCTGAATAGTTCCCACTGAGTTATTTTTCTTCTTTTTAAATGCAGCAATCTCTTTATCCTTAAGTTTAAGGATCTTCTGTTGTTGCTCCATCTTTAGTTGAAGTTCCTATAAACAAACAAAAAGTCCCATTCTTCTTGCCTCAGTCAGTCTGTTTTTAAAATGCATTTAATGTCAGAGTCCACACAAGTATATAATCTGAAATACTGACCCGAAATTTACATGTAAATTTGCAATTCAAAGCTAGACCGTGTAATTAAAAAAAAAAAAAAAAGCTGAAGAGAAAGGCAAACTGATGATTTCTCTGAAAATGTTTATAGGCAGTTATTCAGTGCATTGGTCAAGAAAGTAATTGCTTAAAACTATGGAAAGTCTGGCAGTATAGTTTATAGTCTTTGGGGAAGCAAAGGCAAAACTGGCTCATCTCATTCTTTGTCATAAAGAAACAGGAAGTATCCTACTTTTATTTGTTGCTGGTCCCGCTGAATCTCTGCTTCTAGTTGCTTCTTTTTTTCACTTTCCTCACACAGTCTCTTCTGTAGCTGAGTCTGCTGGTGCTTCATCTGAGCCACATTCTGCTCAAGTTCTGTTGCTTGTCTCTCATTTTGGTTAGATAATGAAGCCAGATTCTTAGTGTCTTGCTGCTTCTTCTGTAAGGCCTGAATGTTCAGGGCAAATTTAATAGCAGGAAAACTTAAAACTAAAATATGACTCAATTTCATTCTTTATTTTGCTGAATTCTTAAGAGTTATTAAGACTTATTAACTTCTGCCCAAACATTCACTCATCATTTCTGTGGTTTATGAACTATCTGGTAAAGTTGGTACAGACAGAATTAATCTCAAGCAACATGAAAAGGTGAAGATAGACTTCATGCCTGGCAATACAATGAAAGTAGTAAAATCTAACAGAAATCACAGCTCTGAAAAATGTGCAGAGACATAACAGTGCCACAGTGCTAGTCCTGAGCTCATGTCAATAAATCAACCACCTCTTTCTGTATGGGGCTTGTCTGACCCACCATTCCAGGACTGAGAAGCACAGAGCACCTAAACTGGCCCTATACAGAATTTAAACTTAGGTATGGCAGAACTTAAAAGCATAGGATCAGTATCAAACAAATATGACTGTATTGGGCCTGATCTTGCAAATCATCACAGTGGTTTACTTAGAGCTAGACTTTATATAGTATTTTCATAAAACATCCATTTTATTTATGGCAGGTAATAAATTTGTGATCGTTTTCTTTTGTAGCTTCTTTTATGATACTACATACAATGGTGTATGAGCATCTCATATCAACCACCTCTTTCTTGGTTTCTTACCTACCAAGAAAATACTGTATGTATGTAACCACATACATGTTTAATAGAATTCTGAGTACAGTAGGATTAAATTTCTCATCAGCTATTTCAATCCAATCAGCTTCCAATGTGTGAAACCGGTGAGAGTTTTACAAGCAGAGTGTTAAGGTTCAAAGTTGGTAGTGAAACAGAGATTTGAAAATCTTAATGGTCAGATCAGAAATACCTGAACTTTCAGGTTAGCTGCATCCATCTTCTTCCTAAACTCTTTTTGTAACTTGGCTTTATCAGGAATGTCTCTCAGCTCCTTAGTCTCCAGCTCCTGAAGCCGCTTTTGTGTTTCAGCCAGTTCCATTTTGGCTTGCTCAGATTCTTGCTCCAGTTTAGTTATCTTCAAAGAATATTGCCTGCTTACAGACTGAGCATCCTTACCTTAAAGACACCATATCCAAGTAGTTTAAAACCAGCAGGGTAATCAGTTGGGAAGTAATAATTCTGTAATTGAATCATTACTTACTTCATTCTGGCTAAACCAATAATTTCTGAAATATTTTCCAACCCTAAAGGAACATACAGTTTCTTTCTAACTCTGAAATAAAGAAGTCTTAAACCTGAATTCATGAGTCATGTGATATCGCCAAATAAAGTGCTGAGAACCAAAAAGAGTTAAATTCTTCTGCCTACTGCAGTTTTTGCCAAAGTGACTCTCCTGTATTTCATAAATGTTGCTTTTTCCAGAAGAATATGACATTTATTTATTATTCAACTTTCAGCTGAATAATCCATAGACAATTTTGGATGGTGTTTCCACTCTCTAACTAGTCCTATTTGGGTCATCTTTCCCAAAGTACTGTTTTTGGGGGTACAGAATCTTTCTCAGTGCCAAAAGACAATCTGAACAGAAGGTATGCACAGAATAATAGTGTCATGGAAGGCATTGAGCAACGAGATCCTTACTGTCATAAGGCTAGTTTCTGGCAGGCATATACACACCAGGACAGCTGTGTAAGGGATATAGGCTAATAGGGACACTGACCTTTTCCCTCATCCATTTCTGACTCCTGCTTCTCTACTGCAGTGCTGGGAATTCTTACATTCCTAGCACAGTGATGTATCTTCTCTCCTATCCCAGACACCATGTGACAAATGCATGTCCATGAAGAGATCAGTAGCACTGAATATACATGACAAATTACACTACTGGTGGGTAAAAGCAATAATCAGCAAAGCTTAAAACATATTTAACAAATATATCTGTGTATGATAGCAGAGTAGGCTGTAATCAACATTTACAGCCTTCAGTGCAATCATGGCAAGTAATTAATGAAAGTTATGAATATTTAAGTTATTAAAAGTATTCTTGCATAAGATTACATAAAAACTAAGACATGCAGGGCTTCAGAAGTTCTGTGCCTTTTGTTTCTGAACTTCTTCATTCTAATTTTCCCTACAGTAGCCAGTTACCTGTTCTTACTAATTCCTTAATAAGTTCCTCTTTCATTTTGATATTAAGGGCAAGTTCTCTCAATTTTTGCTCGGCCTCAGTGAGTCTCAACTCTGAATTCTTTAACTTCTGCATGTTAAAAACATGGCTTTTCTGGAGGCTGTCAATCTCTTCACCTTGAAAGAAAACAAAGCAAGATGGAGATCAAAAATCTGGAATACACTCTGTATCCAAAAGATAGTGCTCTGGAACATTGTATGTGTGGATTTCTTCCACATGAAGCAAAAGAATCAAAAGGACAGAATAGCACAGAGTGTCTTTTTTCTGCTGTGTGTCTAAACAGGAAAAGATGGTAGGCACTAGTATTTCAAGACCCTAAGTGGGAGAGAAAATATTCCTGATATCATTTCAGTGCCTCTCTGATAAGATGATAGCATCTATTTTCTTTTATTGAAGCAATCCTAAGGATTTATATCTAAACAGCTATTTGATATGTGAACTGCTTTCTGGCTAATAAGTATTATTTAAACATTAAGATCATGGACATCAGTTTCAGAAAGAGGAAGAAGAAGAGAATCTCAAAAGCCTAAATTGAACTATAACAAAAAAAAAAAAAATTGTCATATACACATATTTGGCTGGGAAAAATAATTACATGTGCTAAAGACACTCTTGCATATTCTGATACTGTAGTAAGATTTGCTCTCATGACTTCCGTTTTACCTGTGGCTGTGTCGGTTTGTAGTACAGATTTGTTGGATAGACCAGCCTCGTCTACTTGACACGTCATGTCACTTAGATCAGGAAGAAAGCACAGAGAAGCTTGTTTCCGTGTCCATGTTCGGTTTATGGAATGCCTAAGGAAGCATAAGCGTTTGTATATTCTTTCTCATCTACTCTCCACCTCCCTACCCTCCCTGGTCTTCATGGTAGATTCTGGCCCCAAAACAAGGATTATGCAGTCTTTATTAAATCAAAAACCTTTGTCTATGCCCAGTTGATCCCTTAAATTAATTGTCAGTAACATCATAAACAGTCTCATATTATGCCAGGATTAGACAATAATAACCTTTGCTATACATTTGTCTTAGAACAACAAATTAAAGAACAGCAAAAAATTACTTAAAAGAGGTTTTCTTTTTGCTGCCTGTATTTTCCTCCTCTTCATCACTCTGATCAGAGAGGTGGCAGTGAAGGACTTTATCCTGATCTTCTATGTTGCTCAGTATCATCTGGCTGCGAGCACGGAATTCTGCCATTACCCGAGCCAAGCAGAAGGCAGGGGGGCTGGTATACACCTGTCAAAAAGCACACAAGAAACGTGATAGCTCAAAACACTTGCAACTATTTAGCAATTCTTTACTGATATTTTTTAAATATTTCAATTTAAAAGTCTGTCATCACCTGAGCTTTAAAGCAAAATTACAGAGGTTTTCTATAATAACTCTGAACACCTTTGTAACAAAAGGTTTTGCAAGAACTTAGAGCACTTATTTCTAATGTGAAAGAAGGCACTGTTAACAAGTCATTATGCAACCTATTCAATATATTGGTAAGAATAATAATTCATTTTTGATAATGATTCATATTTGAAACCCCAGGAAAACACCAGCACTTCTAAGTGCTGATTTTAAGCCTGAACATTTTGGACAATTGTGGCATAGCATATGTTGCAAGATATTAAAAAGTAATTTTTCAGAGTCATCAATGGGAAGCTAAACAGCATCTGAGAAAGACACCGTAATTTGTCATGTCAAGTAAAGGAACTAAAATTTAACATGTGGATAAACGTTACCTTTCGGGTCTCCGTCCCTGAAGGTGGATGAAGGGAGTGTAGGAGACTCTTTGTGAGTGGGACACTGTACGGCCTTCTTGCAGATGCCAGAACAGATGGCCCATCTCCACAAGTATTTGAGAAGTCCAAAGTTTTCACATCTGTAAATTTCTCTAGTTTTTCTTTTAGCTGACCAATAAGCATTTGCTGTTCCACCATTTTCTCGTTCTCATGGGGAAAAAAAAAAAAACAAACAAAGCAAAACTGGTGTTGATCATGAGCTCTGTATCATATACACCATTTCTAAATTCCTTACAATGGTCAAGAATCTTGCAGATCACTCACTGACCTAAAATTATTTTGCTGTGCACAGGGAAATTCTGTAACAAACTGAAAATTCTATGACTTATTAATCTAACACACACCTCCCAATATTAGTAAATTTTAGACACATTTTTGTCCAGAAAGACCTATTCCAGGTAAGTTACATTAGCTTATCTAGGCATCTAGTGAGAAGTAGATGACATACTTATTAGCCTGTGCTTGCTTTACGGAGAAATAAAATGGGAATTCAACAAAAATTTTCAAATGAAACACATGGTCTGAGTCTAATTAATTAAACATGTATACAGGCTTCATCTTCCTCTTTGAGCAGTTTCACTTTAAAGATTATTTGTATTAATAAACATAAACATGTACATGATCCCAGGATTCCTTATATGAGCAACATTTTCTTCTACTCAGCCTCAACTTTGTTGGTAGTGCTAGTTTGGAGAACTTAATTATCTGCTTCTCCTACAGCAGTCTCCATATGTAGTTCGAAACTACTTATCTTACCTAAAATGATTCATCCATAAGGCCAAGATTATATACACTTTCAACTCCCTCTATTCCTTTCAGTTAATTTCAAAGTACCTTTAAAATCTGGCCTAATAACAACAGGAATGTTGAAGAATAGTTGGTGATAGTCAACAGAAAGTATTCAATTAAATATATTTTGCATTCTCTTACTTTGACTACTACATTTTCATTGATCTATATATCTTGTTTTCTTAGACTGCAAGTTCCTTCCAAACATACATAGACAATGTCTTGGAAATTGACATTTTGTTGGAATACAATACATAATATTCCTGTGTCATAGCAAATAGAGTATTTATATGAATACCATACTTGTTATGATTTTGGAAGTAAAGGTCAGCTGATCCACCCTGAAGTTATTATTTAAGCCTTTTAAATCTCTTTGTCCTTGATACCCTTGTACATACAATCCCACAGTGCAACAGCTGTTACATAAATACATATATGTATAAACATTTAACATGTATCTAGTACCTTCTACTTTTAAATTTCTTATTCTACCACCTATCACAAAATTACATATTCCTGTGATTACAACTAAAATATTTGACAGAAATGTTTGATTTTTATTATCCTACTTCTAGGTTTTAACATAAAAGTGGCAGTATAGTGGATTAAGTACCAGAATGGTGCCTGACAGCTCTCAAGCTTCTTTCCTGTCTCTGATACTGAAAAAATCATGATCTTTTACCTGCAATGTGACTGCTTCTGTTCATGACCTCTATCCTGTATCCTCCAGAATTTATATAAGCATTATCTCAGTATAATATGTGTCCTGGGTTGCAGTGTATTCTATTACCATGCTCATGAGCTGTCGAAATCAGGTGAGACAGTGTTTCCTTGTTTCCCTCCCCCCTCCAGACTATCTTTCTGCTAACGGCCCATCAATGCCATGCAGCATGACTCATTATCCCATTGTGAGATGCTCCACCCAGAGGGAGAAAACCAGCATTCCATCCTGGATATAACCTGAGATTCTGAATACCAGAGGCCTCTCTTTTCCACTGGATTTCCAGAGGACAGGAGTTGCTTAGCCACCACTGGACTTTTCTGAGGAAGAGCAGATCTTTTTTTTTTTTTTTCTCTATGGGATCACTGCTTCGGGGGGACTGCAGCCACCATTCTACCAGACTGCTACCACCACCCTGATTAACAGGGTGTCAGGTTGTATCCTGACTCTGTTAGTTTAACCTAGGGTTATCTGCCTTTATTTTTTTTTTTTTTTAATTAAATTGTTATTCTGACGGTGTCTCCCACTAGTTTGTTTTCAAACTAGCACAATAAGTTGACACTATGCTGTACAGGTTAAAAATAAAAATCAAACTAGCCAGAGGTGACAGAAAAGAAAGTGACAGAGGGAGGAAAAAGATGACGACTCATATACTTACCTTTCATTCATTGACTCTCCCCAATCCATCAGCAAAGAAGAGGAAAAAGGAGAAAAAGTAGTATAAGGAAAAGGATACTAGCTAGCCATACTTCTGCTTTTCTCTTTTTGAAAGTTTATCTATTATCCACGTGACAGGCAACACTAGGATAATATTAACTATCCTATGTGTGGTGTCCTCGATCTTCAAACGTTACACACTTACTACCCATCATAATTTCATTAGCAAGCACAAGATCTAGAAAAGGAAAGAGGCAAGCAGTGTTTCCACTATGTCACTCAGTCTTCTGTAAGAGTAAATGCTCAGAAAACAAGGATGAAATTCTGTCTTATAAAGTTAAAAGGAAATAATAATTATTAATAAAGCCGTAACAAGATACATTTCTATACAGTCTTTCAATTAAAGCATTCTACAGGATCTTTATGGTAATTTTTATAGATTCTAAAGAATCTTTAAAGGCCTTTCACATCCTAATTCATTAATTGTCCTGAAACTACTTAGCAATAATACACATGTGGGGAGAGGGATCTGTGTTATGCTTTAGGAAGCATGGAGAGTGTGAATGATTCACCTCATACTAGAAGACTGTAGCACAGCTAGGCTAATACACAAATTTCAGAAATCACACTATTGTGCTTCATCCACTCGATGAGCTCAATTCATCAAGTGATAAAGCTCGAACTCAAACAAAATGCCCATAAGATTGACATGCAGTTATGTCCAAAAAAATCCTGAGGGACTTGTCTTGAAATAATAAATGCATTCATATAGTGGAAAAATGGTTCAGTATGGTGTGTACCAGAGAAAAAATACCTGTAATCTCTGTGTTTCTTGAGCCTCCTTTAAAGATTCCAGTTGTTCTTCATTTTCCTGTAGTAATGCCTTTATCTTATTCTGCAGCATCTGCAGTTCATGATCCTTCTGGCTAAATACTTCTTCATCCATAACGAGGGCCTGCTAGATAATAACAGAAAAGTTCAGCTGGGGAAAAGGGGGATTTATTATTCTTGCAGTTGGAAAATGGAAAAAAAACACAACACCACCCCAAAACCTCATTTGTTGTTAAAAGTTGTGATCAAGAACTGCAAAGTTTTGAGGTATGTATGGAAAATTGTCGGAGTGGTTATCTGTGGTTTCTACCAGTTATTTCTTAACTTCTGTTTCATCTACTGATTTTCTTCCAACAAGCTTCTTTTTCCCAAAGGGAATAATGTACCCATAACCAAAGCTGCCTTCTTGTAGTATATATCTAAATCCAATTATTCTCTTTAGGGTGCTGTGAAATGTAGCCACAAGATCTCAGCATTAACCATAAGATTACTACACTTTTCAAAATAAAAAATAAGGACAGCTGTCCACATTCTGCAACAACTCAAGTGACAGTCTGAAGATTTAAAGAAACTATAAGAATGCTTCTTCAGATGTTCTTGTGGATAAATAATCCCATATTGATTGAAGGAGAATTCCATATGTTGTTAATCTTCCGGAAAGTCCATAGAAGCCAAAGTATGGAAGCATCATGTCTTACTGTTATAAAACTGGATACTTCTGTACCTTTCTTCCAAGAAAAGACAACTTTTAATAGCTTTTAAGAATGCACTAAAGAACGTGATATCTCTTTAGAGAACAGAACTTTTTCCAAAGTCTATGTCCCAATGCAAATGTTTCTACTAAACATAGTTGATAAGTCTATCCTGTCTGCCACTGCTGCTCTATCATTATGCAGAGCTGAGCCAACTACAGAAAAAAAAAGAAGCTTCCACAGATGTTAGCATGGTGACAGAGTGGGGCAGGATGAAGCGACAGAAAACTAAGTGGTATATTGTCCATATTGATTAAACTAAAATCAGACTATGTTTGCTCAGTTGTATTGTATGTAGGTGTCAAGGATTTGGTGGGGATGACTGCAGGGGAGGTTTCTGTGAGAAGAGACCAGGGTTTCCCCATTCTGAATACAGTCAGTTCCAGATGACTCCAGTAGACTCAGTGCAGGGAACCGCTGAGGCCCTCTGCCAAAATGGTTGGCACCTCTGTGATAATATATTTAAGAAAGGCACAAACTGTGAGACAGGCTGAAAAGGAGGGAACCAAAAGAGTGAGAAAGAGCAGAGTGAACACCAGGAAGAGAAGGAGGAGGAGGTGTGCTCCATAGTGGAGCAGCAGATACGCAAACTGCAGCCTAAGAAGGACCCATGCAGGAGTAGATGGATATTCCTGAAAGAACTGCTGCCCATGCAAAGCCCATGCCAAATAGGAGGAAAGGTGTGAGGAGGAAAGAGCAGCAGAGAGAAACTGCTATGTACTGACCATAAACCACCCTGCTATGTCATGGCACCACTTGGCAGTGAGGGAGAGGAGTATGGAGTGAAGGAGTGAAGACAAGCCCAGATAAGCTGGGGAGGAAAGGTGTTGTTTTAGTGTTTGTCTTTTTGTTCCCCACTACCCAAATGAGTAATTTTTTTTTTTTTTTTTAATTGGCAATAAAGTAAATAATTTTTTCCCCGATTTGAGATTGTTTTTTAACTGGTAAGCAATCTCCCTGTCTTTATCTCAACTCAGAAGCCTTCTCATTCCTGTTCTTCCTGTTTCTCTCTTTGAGTCTTGCTGATGGAGGGGTGAATGAGTGGCTGGGTGGGAGTCTGGGTGTTAGCCATGGCTAGCCCGTTATGCCATTATTCTTATTTTGTGTAAGATGGCATTATCCAGGCAATCATAGGTGTTAGAAAAGAAATAATGTATGTATGCACAAGACTTTGTCCACCATTAGGTATTAATTCTGTCCATATGCAAGTCCTGCTCTAGAGTCTGTGTTGCCTTCTTAATTTTAGCCTCTCCCTAACCATCTCCTCCTATATGTGGGCTCACCAGAGCAAATTTAAGTTTAAACTCAGCTCTTACACTGTTTTGAATCTGGGAAACAGAGGTTTAAAATAAGCTACAGAAGAAAACAAAGAAGTAAGAAAAAAGCTGTGATTTAGATTGATTGAGAACAAAGACAAGACAGAATTTGCACATGCAATTGCCTGATAACAATTTACAGGCTTATCACAGTTTGATGTGCAAACTGAAAATCAGTTAATGTTATAAAATTCTAACTAGTTGCAGCACTGTCCTACTACAAGAGACTCATACTAGTTTTTCTAAGCTGTTCATTTTATGTCAGAACTTCAGTCAGTTTCAAACTAGTCTACAGGTAAAGTTACAAAATTAATTTTAATTTGAGACTGTTTATTGTACAATAATCTGAATTAGATATTTTGTTATCTGTAATCAACATTTTAACTCAGTACATCCAAAATACTCACTTCCTAAATGTATATGGGAATGTTCCCATAAATAATATTTATTTGATCATGTGTCAGTTCTGTGAGGAGACATTATCATGCTTGAGAAGGCTGACAGCTCTTCTTCCCATAGGTTATTTTCTAGCACCATTACCTGCTATCTGAGAAAGAGCATGACAGCTTCCTCATGGGATATCTGCATGCCAAGAATCCCATATCTTGTTTTGAAATTCTCACCTCAGCTAGAAAACTGTTAAGAAGTATGATGCCACCAAAAAGCAGAAAGTTGATATATAATACAAAGCCATTGTTAGAAAAGTGATGAGACAGAGAAATCTGTAAAAAGTTTATAAACTCAGTTAGCTAAAGGCATGATAATGATAAGGAAATGCAGGAGTTCTTGGTAAGAACGTTGCTGAAAAAATACAGGTTAAGAAATTTCTTATTTGCAACCTCCTAGTATTAGACAGACCAGTATACTACAAACATAGATATAAGTTGCAAAACCTATCCCATGGGTTATCTGTAAGTACGCTGGTATCTGTGAAAATACCTGCATTGTAGTTATACCCATAATGCTTCTGACAGACTAATTTGCAAGATTCAAAACTTCTGACAACTGAAAGTAGTTAGTGTGGGTTAACCCCAGTAGGCAGCTGAGCACACAGACACTCGCTCACTCACTTCTCCCTGCTCAAGCCCAGTGGGACAGGAGAAGAGCAAAGGAAGAATAAAAGCAAGAAAACTTGTGGGTCGAGATAGAAATTGTTCAGTAAGTGAAGTGGAAGAAGAGAGAAAGAAAGCAAGATAAGTAATGCAAAAGCAATTAATGTAAAACCAATCACTCACCACCTTCAACAGGTAGACTAATGCCCAGCCTGCTTCTCAGCAAAAAATAGTTAATACATCCAAGCCCTTCTCCTCTCCCTTTTTATTGCTGAGCATGTCATATGGGGTGAAATTTCTCTTTGGTTGGTTTGGGTCATCTGCCTGGTTGTGGCCCTCCCCCTGCCTTCTGGTGCACCCTCCCCCAATCTATTCAGTGGGGTGGCAGAGGCAGAAACGGAGAAGGCCTGACACTGTGCTCACATTGTTCAGCAAGACCTAAAACATCGGTGTGTTATCAGCGTTGTATTGGTCATAAATCGAAAACACAATCGAAATCTCTTGAAGGTTTCCCCATCTTCCCACATTACCCACAAAGTGTACTTACCTTTTCCTGAGGGAGGAATAACCCATGCTGCCTTTCCTAGCTAGTTTGCTACACACACTACAGGGACCTTATCTTCTTCTGCAATACATGGGGTTTTTGTTTGGGCATGTTCAGGTCGGTTAGCTGATCCTCTGGTATTAATTTACCAAGTGGCTTCTGCTAAATTTGCATCCCATTGCTGACACACTCCAGTGCCCGTTCCTTTCAGTATACTTTTAACAGTCCATTGTATTGTTCAATCTTTCCAGAGGCTGGTGCATGATAGAGAATGTGATACATCCAATCAATGCCACATTTCTTGGTCAGGTGCTTTATAAGATTATTTCAGAAATGAGTAACATTGTCTGACTCAGTGCTTCCTGGGGTGCCATGTCACCACAGAACTTGCTTTTCAAGACCTAGGACAGTGTTTTGGGCAGTGGTATGGGTACCATATGGTGTTTCAGGTGGTGGTATGGGTACCGTTCTGTCCACTTTCCTTGTTCAGCAATATCTAGGGCCAGCGGGATGGATTTTACTTCTGCATATTGACTTGATTCATCTTTCCCTTCAGCAGTTTCTGCAACTTGTCATATGGAACGCCACACAGCAGTTTTCTGCCTCCAGTTGTTTCCCACAATATGACAGGACCCATTAGTAAACAAATCTTATTGTTTCTCATTTACTGATAATTTATTACAGAGTGGGGCCTCTTCAGCATGAGTCCTTTCCTCAGGCAATGCTCCAAAGTCTCTGCTTTCTGGCCAGTCCATGATCTCTTCCAGGATTTCAGGGCAGGTGGAGTTCTCCATTCAGGCTCATGGTGTGATTACCACTACTCACTTACTCCACATAGCACTGGTTGCATGATAGGTAGAGGGGATATTTCCTTTGAACATCCAATGCAGCACAGACAGTTGTGGTGCCAAGAGAGGCTGAGCTTCAGTAGGGACTACTTCTGGAGCGCCTTGCATCCCTTCTAGCATCTTCTGCTAGTATCTCCTTTTCAGTTGCAGTGTAGTGGGCCTCAGATCCTCTGTACCCACAGCTCCAAAACGCTATAGGTTTACCGTGGATCTTTCGAAGGGCTTTCTGCCAGAGACTCCAGTTGAGGTCATGCTCCCTGGCACCAGCATAAAGCACATTTCTCACACTTGGTCCTGTCTGGACTGGCCCACAGGCTACCACACAAACAATTTCCTGACTGATCTGTTCAAATGCTTGTCACTGCTTGGGGACCCAGTTGAAACTGTTCTTCTTTCAGGTCACTCCACAGAGAGGACTTAGAAGTTGACCATAACCTGGAATATGCATTCTCCAGAATCCCACAGTGCCTAGGAATGCCTTTTTGTTAACTACTGGGGATTTGGCTGTTATCTTACTGATCACATCTGTTAAGATGTGCTAACTCCCATCTTGACATTTTGTTCCCCTAGAAAACTAGATTTCTCCTAAAGATCCTTTGACCTTGTTTTGTTTTATGGCAAAACCACATAAGAATCTGAATTTTCTTTTCCCTTTCTCAAACACTTCCTCAGCTGGTTGCCCCACACAGTGATGTCATCAGTGCACTGCAAGCTTTCTGGGGCTTTGTCGTGTTCCAGTGCATTCTGGATCAGTCCATGGCAAAAGGTAGGGTTGTGCTTCTGCCCTTCCATGGCAGTCAGTTCCAAATTGGACACCCTTCCACATCAAAGCTAACTGTGGCCTGCACTCTGCTGAAAAAGGGACTGAGAAAAATGCATTGGCAATATCAGTTAAGGCATATCGTTTGGCTGCTTTTGACTCCAGTTCAACCTGGAGTTCTAACATGTCCAGTACAGAAGCACTTAATGGTGGCATGACTTCATTTAGTGATAGTCCACTGTAAACCTCCACGCTCTGTCAGCCTTTTGCACTGGCCCTATGGGACTATTAAAGGGCAAGTGAGTCTTGCTAATCAACTGTTGGCTCCTGAGTCAACGAATCAGTTCCTAGATGGGAATGACAGAGTCTCAGCTGGGATTATATTGATGTCTGTACACCATCATGGTAGCAACTGGCACTTGCTGTTCTTCAACAGAAGGATCATCCAAGAAGATAGGCAAGGTGGACAGCTTTAACCTTCTCTGAATCCACAGTGGCTACATCCACAGTGGCTACATCAAAGTCCTAATGGTACCTCTTTGGATTCCAGAAGTACCCTGTTTTGAGAGAGCAAGTGTCAAGGATATATGGGGCCTCTGGACTGGTAACAATAGCCTATTTCTGCTACTTATTCCCTGTTAGGCTCACCTCAGCTTCTAACACAGACAACAACTGGGGTCTCCCATCACTCCAGAAATCCAGATGTGTTCTGCCCCTTTGTACCCGGATGGCATTAGGATACGCTGTGCACTGGTGTTCACCAAAACTAAAGTAAATCTAATTGTCCCTTTCCTCCACTTGGCCAGAAGGAGAGCACCCTATTCCTAACAAGAGCATTCAGTACATGACTCCTGTAATTACAAATCAGAAGTTTTTACACCATAAAAGAAGCCCATGTCTCTCTCTGTTGCCCAGGCTATGTACAAGAACTATTCACAGGTGTGATCCTACTAGAGACCAGCACGGTCCTTCCATGATGAAAGGCATGGGGTTCAGACCCACATGGACCTAAGTCCATTGGGTCAGTATCAGAAAGAGGAGAGGGGTCCTCAGCCCATCTACTGCATCTCAGAAATTGCTCAACAGCAACCGAGCAGTAATGTTCCTGGAAGGACCCTTTTTAACCACTGCTTTTTCCTATAATTCACGTACACAAACTTCCAGGACCAAGGTAGGTGCACCATCCCACTTCATCATCCTCCCCACAGTCACACAGATAGAACTACAGGGTGGCACAAGGCATGTGCCTGTGGTTCCCTTCCCTTTGAGCAGAGAAAGGCTGCAGGTGCAAGAAGGGAGAGAGGTTATCCACATTCTCTTTGAGATGCTGGACCTTGTGGAACAGTCTGTCCACAGCTGAGATGCAATCCCATAGCAGGGAGGGGGAACAGAGATTCTCTTAGAATCACCAGAGCTGGCAGACCAGTCTATACAAAGTTGGTGCCTCAATGTCAGCCCAATCCATCATTGCTAGGTTACTGGTGCATGATGTTGGTGCACTCTGTACAGACTTCTGCCACACAGATCATGTGAGCTGTACGTCATTTGGATCTCCAGGGGCCTGATTGTCCATATCACTGTAGACCACCTCCACCACTGCTAATTCCCTCAGACTCTGGATACTTTCCTTTGTGGTACTCCCCTTGCCTCAATGGGTTACAATATCTTCCTTAAGAGAGTACCTTGTCTTCATGCTTGGTAAGGGACACCTCTGAAAGCTGTGGGTGGCTGCCCCTTCTCTGATCCCTCTGTCAATCCCACAGTCCCTAGCAAAGGACCTCAGCTGCTGTGCTTCCCTACCTCCTAGTTCCAGACTGTAAGCCCTTATTATTCCAGCATTGGAGCAAGCAGTGTTGATGAACTGATGAGTCGCTCACCTTGTTGATGGACAAAATCTTTCCACCTATCTTGCAACTTGGTCATGGATAGGGACTGGGTAGTTTTCATCTCTTATTACTATATCTTTCCTCCCCTGTCCTGCTGCAGAATAGGTTGCCTCTTCTGATTCTTCCTCTCTCCCACTCTCAGGAGATGCTGCTTCTTCTCTTACTGAGTTGGCCTCTGCTTCCACTGTTTATTCTTGACTACAAGAGCAACTATTACAGTTGAGGGTTTGGTCTCTGGTTTAGTGTCTGTTTCTGTGGCCTCAGAGCAAGAGACCTTCTCAGTGCTTGTTTGTGGGCTCTTAGATCCAGAGACCATCTTGCATCTCTGAGGGCACTGAACAGTGGATTGATAGGCATGGGTTAGGTCCCAACACAGCCTTAGAAGTCATTGTGTTTCACCTTGCCTCCTTCAAATGGTGTATTAGCTTGATTGGTTTACAAGCCTGGTCAGGCATGAAATCCAAGCTACTGAATGCAGTAACAGACCTGTGCACCTGCCCAACACCTCCCATACACCCTGCTACCCCAGGAATCAATCACGTTAAAGCATGTTCCTGTGTGGCATCCCCAATTAGTTTAACCTTATGAACAATAATCAAAATCAGGACCACAACACACAGCAGTATGAACAGTCTGATTACATGAGGATATTTAGGGAACTGATAAGTCATTGCCTCAAGGCTATAAAAGCCTATCCTGGAGGAGAGTAAAGGATAGAGTCATTGTTTTCTCTCTCCACAAAACTTCCCTTGGAGGAGAAAAAGGGAAACGTATAGTTTCTGGGTTTGTCCATGAGATGTTTCCTGGAGTACTGGGACACCAGTGATATAAGGCTCAAATATCAAATTAGGCTGAAGGCCAGTGGTTTTATCAGAGCTATCCCAAGCAAAGGAAAACAAAGTGATAATTAACTAAACAGCAAAATCTGAAAACAGTCATTAGTGCTTTTTGGGAGTCTGTTGTAGAGCTAGAAAGGAATCAAGCATCAGAACTTTCAAGGAAACATGTAAGTCAGCACCCAAAGTAAATATGTCAGCATCATGATCCGCAACAGCCACTCAAATAACAACTTAACAGGTATAACAGCTAGACATTTAATCTAGAACACTCTAATCAAATCTGTTATTATTTCAAAGGCCTTAAGTCCCATGTTAGACACAAAAAAAGGACTGTTGTGGGTTAACCCCAGTAGGCAGCTAACTGCACACAGCAGCTTGCTCACCTTCCCCCTGCAACCCCAGTGGGATGGGGGAAGAGGAAAGGAAGAGTAAAAGCAGGAAAATCTATGGGATGAGATGGAAATTGTCCAGTGAGTAAAGGTGAAGTGGAAGAAGAGAGAAAGAAAATAAAACAAACCAAATCATGCAAAGCAAATTCCTCAGCACCTCGAAGGCTGCCTAGCCATTTCCCAGTCAAAATATGGCTAATCTGCCTGGACATCCTCTCCCTTTTAATTATTGAGCATGATGTTATATGGCATGAAATACCTCTTTCATTAGTTCAGGTCATCTGTTTGGATGTGCATGCATGTGTTTCCCAGCCTTTTGTGCACCCCCCAGAAGAAAGAGAAAAGAAAAAAAACCCAAACAAAACAGATAGCCTGATGATCTGCAAACACTGTTCAGCAAGATCTAAAATGTTCCTGGGTTATCAGCATTGTGTTGGTCATAGATCTAAAACACAATACCCTATGAGCTGCCATGAAGAAAATTAACTCCATCCCAGCCAGACCTAGCACACCAACATAGCTAAACCCAAAAATCTAACAGTTTAAACAGCTCAGCCTCATAGAATCATCTTGAAACTGACTAGCCAAAATATAACATTACTTTACTTATCTCTGTTATGATTAAGATGGTTATCTATTCAATCATCCATCAGAATAAAGCAATATCCCAGGGATTAGACAAACAAAATTACACAAGACTGTAAATTAAATTTGTCAAATTAAGTACAGGTAAATCTAGCAGGTTTACATCTTTCAAAATTGAGTTCAAGTCTTAGCAGACTGCTCTTTCACAGATATTTAAATAATCAACTTATAATTAAATACCTGGCATTTCTTTAATTCCCTCTTTAGCTGAAGAATTGTGATGTGATGTGGCTCTTGGCTAGTCCCAGTCCCTATGTCAGTTTCCTGCATAGTGAAGGCTTCCTTCCTTACTTTCTGTACCATAGTGATCCAGCTCTGCAACCTGTCACGCTGACTGCTTTTTAAGCTAACATCATCATTCAAATGAACCAGAAATGGGAAGGCTTCATCTACACAGTTTCTGTAACTGGAACACTGAACCTGAAGCCGTGTGAGCTGCTCCTCAAGTGAACTGATACGAGTTCTTTCTTGATTTAAGTTGTGTGAACACTTATTACTAACTTGACGGTTCTGCAAAGCTTCTCGAAGCAATCTAATTTCAAGTTCCATTTCATCAATCCGATCTTGATTAGGGTTGTAATTTACAACTGGTTTATTTCTAATGTTTTTGGCTCTGTTGGCATATTTGAGGGAATTTAAAGATTCATCAAAGTCTGATGAGGATGGACTTATACATGTTATCATGACAGTCTTGGCATTTCCTCCAAGGGAGTCTTTCAGAATGCGAGTGATTTTAGCATCCCTGTATGGAATATGTACACTTCTCCTTTTTGGGTCTCCAAGCGCACTGATGACATTTCCCAAGGCCAACAGACCACTGTTGATCTGAATTGATTCTTTGAAGCGTTCACCAGTATTTCCAGTCTTTGTCACCCTCTCTGATCCTGCCAAATCCACAAAATGAAACTTTGAAGCAATCATCTGGACTGATTTCCAAGATGAATCCTGTGCAGCATCAGTATTTTTGTGAGACTCTGCAGCCTGTTTCTGACAAATACTGATGGTAAAAATGGCGTGAGATCGACTAGAGTGCTCATTCATTTGTGTTGTGCCTGTGTGACGAGCTGCATTGCCACTTTCCAACAGGGTTATCACTTCATCTGCACAGTCTACTTGGAATTCCTTAGCACCGACAATCACTTCAAACAGCAAACCAAAGAAAGTAAGAATAATTCAATTAATTATAAAACTCTTCAGCAAAAGTTTAAAGCAATTAGGAATAGTCAAACTCTGAATACATATTAGAGAAACATACAAGCCTGCATTGTTATGAGGTCACAGTGTGTAAGCTATCGAAAAATATTACATCAATACATGCAAAGCATGAGGTACAACACATCTGAAACCTGCAGATATTTAATATATGGGTGTATTGTGTCATAGCATTTGAAACAGTATCCTAAACACAATACATAGCTTTACTCACACATTGCAATATGCAATTTGCAATCTAGTTCTACCTAGAAAAATTATGAGCAAAGTCAGCTCAAAGGATATTTTGCCAGGTTTTTTTTTTTAAATTGGGCCTCTTGCACAGGTACCTATTAGTAATATAATAATATGGAAGTGTACTTCTACCAAGTACTCCTACCAAGCATGTTTTTTGTCCTTTGTTTTAACGAAGGATGGAAAATGTCCTAGCAAAACCTACTGAAGCTGATGTGAACCGAAGAAGAGAAATATATTAAAATATTTTGTGGGATCCTTATGAAGCAATGATATTGTCTGTAAGATTTGTGCTAAATTAGGGACTTCTTCCAGCTACAGACAAGAAAACCATGTCAGCTCAATGCAACAGTATATTAATATTAGAGCAGACACAACAATTAGAATATAAAGAATAAATAAATAAATAAACCACCCTACACCAGATTATACAGTTTCAGAACAAAATACTTCTGCTGCAGATTCTTCCTGCATTTTCATGTAGTGAACAGAACCGTAAAATAAGGGTTAAATTCAAAGTCTCCAAAAAATATCTAATGCTACTCTTAATGAAATGTTCTCTTCCGCTCATTTCAAGGTGAAAGGGGGGCAGACATTTACTAAGTATCTTAACAATTGTAATTTTGAAGGGAGGTAAAAAGTCTAGACAGAATTTGTGGAAGCAGTAACTGTATTCCCACTTAACCTTTTGCTGCCATTTCTGACCGAACATCTATATTGTCCACAGGCATCTAAACCTAAAACTACTTCAAATCAGCTAAACTTAGTTTATATTTTGAAAATTTAACTTTTTCTCTAGTATTAGTAATGAATAAGCTATTTCAAGAGACGGCAAGAATAACTTGAGCACACAACTGAAATCCAGCACACCAGATTTTAGAGCTGAAATTCTACCTGTATTTCCCTTTTCATCTTCTCGGATATGTAATTCTTTCACAGAGGTCTCCAACTCCAATAAATCTCGAAGTTCTTCCTTGTAAACCTCTATATAAGATACTTTTACATGGAAGTCAATGTCATGGTTTTCAGAAATATGCTGAAATAATTCCTGAATAGCCCGTGGGATTATGCCCTTTTCATCCTCTGAAACTGATGCTAAAATATAAGCAAAGATATCACAGAAGCTTGCAGTCATTTGCTACATAAATTACAAAGACTGGAAACTGCAATTTGTTTGTCTGAGATCTGCTACTCAATATACTAAGGAATCTGAAGAATTTAGTGTTCCCAAGGATTTTTGTAAATACTTGTTTTTCTGGTGTTCAGAATATTTGTCTGCATAATTAATAGGATTCAAAGTTAAGTTCTAAATTATATAATGTTATAGTCACAGAAGTAATGAAAAATATGGAAACTACTTTACTTCTACTTATTATGGTTGGCAGTGACATCACAAGGTTTGAGAAAGCATAAATTCCACATATACAGCAAAGACCATTAGTAACTTCGTGAGACAAGCTTTGTGACCAACATTTACAGTAATTTCCTATTTTTTCGAAGTAGATATAGAATGCTAATGCCAAATTCAGGCTTGTTTGGGGGTTTTTGTGGGTTTTTTTGTTTTTTTTGTTTTTTTTTTTTTTAATATTCAGCATAGGACGATACTTCCATAAATGTGTTCTTTATTCAAGAATATGGAAACTTACTGTTTGTCTATGAGAGAATACCAAGAATCTTTTTTACCAAAGAAAAAAAAAAGGGTTGCTCACATCTAACTATGAATTTAGTAAATGTAAGTATAAAACTAAAATTGATGAGCTATGAACATTGGCTAGCAACGATCCTTAGAAGAACATTAAATTAAACTACTAAAAGAGGAAAGACAACTGGTGATAACAACAAGCAGAATTAAGAGGCCAACTGTATGTTGTTCAACAAGGCCAAGCACTGGGTCCTGCAGCTGGGTCACAACAACCCCCAGCAGCGCTACAGGCTTGGGGAGGAGTGGCTGGAGAGCTGCCAGTCAGAGAGGCACCTGGGGGTGTTGATTGACAGCCGGCTGAACAGGAGCCAGCAGTGTGCCCAGGGGGCCAAGAAGGCCAATGGCATCCTGGCTTGTGTCAGCAATAGCATGGCCAGCAGGGACAGGGAAGGGATCTTACCCCTGGACTCAGCACTAGGGAAGCCACACCCAATTCCTGTGTTCAGTTTTGGGCCCCTCACTACAAGACAGACATTGAGGTGCTGGAGTGTGTCCAGAGAAGGTCAACAAAGCTGGTGAAGGGTCTAGAGAACAAGACTTATGTGGAGTGACAGAGGGAAGTGGGGTTGTTTAGCCTGGAGAAAAGGGAGCTGAAGGGAGACCTTATCCCTCTCTACAACTACCTGAAAGGAGGCTGTAGTTAGGTGGGTGTTGGTCTCTTCTCCCAGGTAAAAAGTGATGGGACAAGAGGAAATGGCCTCAAATAGCACCGTGTGTGTGTGTGTGTATGGATTTAGATTGGATATTAGGAAAAGTTTCTGCACCGAAAGGATTGTCAAGCATTGGAACAGACTGCCCAGGGAAGTGGTTGAGTCACCAGCCCTGGAGGTATTTAAAAGACATGTAAATGTGGCACTTAAGGTGGTGGCACTTTAGTGGTGGACTTGGCAGTGCTAGGTTAATGGTTGGACTTCATGGTCTCAAGGGTCTTTTCCAGTCCAAATGATTCTGTGGTTCTATGATTCTAAATAAAAGCAAGATTTTAATACCTACCAAAAGTTTTAGAATAATATATTTATATCCAATTGGAAGACAGAAATTTATAATTTAAATGATGTCATAGAAATATCTCTCTCAAAAAAAAGAGTGAGCAAGCAAACAATTAATTGCCTAAAGAAGACATTTTCAAGGTGAGATAAATTTAGCAAGAATCAGGAAGAAATTCTAGTTTAAGTTCTAGTTTGTTAAAAACGGGAAATGAGAAAGAGCACTTACATTTTTTTTTCTTCTTAGATATTTTTAGTATATTTTGATTTATGGAGAATGTGTCTTTAGAACAGTTTAATTATCACATACACTTTGGAATTTTTCTTTTACTGTACCTTTTTTCATTAGCCCTTATAAATGCTGCAGCATCATGTACTATGTATTAAATATTTCACTTGCACAAATACACTGTTCACCAGTTTAAAGAACCCCCAAAATTTCTACAACCTACCAATGTGTCCACCTCCAATGGTGTAAGTCTTCCCAGATCCTGTCTGTCCATATGCAAACACTGTAGCATTGTATCCCTCAGTCAAAGACACTAGAAGAGGCTTAATGCAAACAGTATAAACTTCTTCTTGGGTTGAGTTTTTGCCAAATACAAAATCAAAAGTGAAGACACGGTCTTTCCCAATGATGATTTGTTGTGTATTTGGGACTAATCTCACACACACTTGGTGGTTATGAAGTACTTCCTTGGAAAGCAAAGGTCTGATTCGAACTGCAACTTTAACCGGGATCTCCTCCATGCCAGACTCCATCCCTGTGCTCCTCACTCTGTATTCACATAGTCAACAAGAAATCTGTTAACCACTCCTGTGTTCACCTCACTTGCACTTGTCTGCAACTAAGAAAAAAAGTATTCCACATTATATACTAGGAATTAATTTCTTGCTGAAGTAGAAAGTTCACATTTCCAAATGTGAATACATAATCACCACTACACTCTCGAAAAGTATCTGATATAAAAGCAGCTATATTAATAACTGTTAAATCAATTAATTTTGACTGTTTAATTTCCAAGTTAGTGGGCTTATTCTCAAGTCTGAAAGTTGCCTGATTTGGTATTTGAACATAATGCAGCCATATGAAGCAACAATATCATAAGAGCTTGTTAATGAACACTGTTGATAAAGCTTATGCTTACAATGAATCTTCTAATTTTCCTATTCTTGCATTCATGCTGCTCAGGCAACATAAATCAGTCAATCAAAACCTTTTTCTCCAAAAGTGTTTGCATATACACACACGTGTTGTAAATTCTCTTCCACATATTAAGTGCCAAGCATCTGTAACTCGACAAGCACAGAGAAAACAGCTGTTACCTACAAAGGAGGTGTGATTTTAAATTTATCTAATTACTATACATAAAGGATTCCTCTGATTTTAATCTGCATCTTTAAGCACATATGTAATTATTTTTTATTAATTATATATTTTAGCAACCATTGTTCCTTATACTGCCCCCGCATATTCATTCTTACAGCATAAGCATTATTCAGTAGCACAACTGTAAGTATCAAGGAGTAGCTTTTCTTTACAGCTCTTTCATGACCATTCAAAAACCCTCACAGGTACTGCTGGATCCCAAACACATCGTTGTTTGGGTTTTTTTGCTGATTCTAAGAATCTTCGCAGTGCAAGGGAAAGTTTGCTGAACTTTCCGCTTGCTGAACTTCCACTCATTGCCTTTAAGAAAGCTGTATTGCCAAACTGGAGAACTCATCAGCTAAGTGCCCCAAATTAAAGTTTATTGGAAACAAACAACTTCAAACAGTTGTTGTGGTTGTGAAGACAAGAGCTTTCTCAGGTCGTTGTATTCCTTTTAGTTTGAGAACCTGGCCATCCAGAGCTAAGAAACTATTGGAAGTTGGGGAAAAAAAAAAGGCCCCATGTTATTCACTGAACAGAAGTAAAACAAAGCAGCAAAGCATGAGACTGAAATCAGACTCCTATCATAAAGGACATGGTGATCAGAAACAGCTATATATACTTACCAACTACATATTCAAACCACATTTGATCTATTTCTGGTTTTATGCAATTACTGGTTTAAAGCACTGACATTGCCCCCTCCCTTTTAAAATTATATTAAATAAAAATTAAACCGTCACAGGGGGAAAAAAAAAAAAAAAAAAAAAAAAAAAAAAAAAA